AAAACAAAAGAACAAAAAGACATTGGATATACAGAAAAAAAGTAAAATGGTAGATATAAATACAATTATATCAGAAACATTAAACGTTAATGGATTATATAAGAGAACCACAAGGCAGGATTGTCAGACTAGATTTAAAAAGAGATCCAACAATATTGTTTCTACAGGAGACAATTTAGATTGAAAACTAAAAATACTTTCTAAAGTAAAAGTATGGAAAGAAATACATTATGTAGACAGCAACCACAAGAAAGCTGGGTGATTATATAAATACCACACTATAAAACAGATTTTAGAACCAAAAAAGTTATTAAAGAGGAACATTTCATAACGATTAAAGGGTCAATCCCTCAAGAAGCTGTCACAGTTATAAACATGCACGTCCCTAATAACGGAGCACCAAAATATATGAAGCAAAACTAAAAGAAGTGAAAAATTGACAATTCAACAATAACTTGGAGATTTCAATACCTTTCAGTAATGGACAGAATATGTAGGCAGAAAATCAACAAGGAAAGAAGACTTCAACAGCGCTATAAAACAACTAGGCCTAACGGACATCTATAGAACACTCTACCCAAGAGCAACAGGATACACAGTCTCCTCAAATGCACTTTGAAATTCTTCAGGACAGACTATATGCTAGAGTATAAAGCAATCCTTGATAAATTTAAAAGAATTGAAATAATACAAAGTGTTTTTCAACCACAATGAAATGAAACTAGGAATCAATAATAGAAAATATGGGAAACATAAATATGTGGAAAATTAACAATATACTCCTAAATAATGGATGAATCAAATCAAAATCAAAAGACAAATCAGAAAATACTTTGAGATGAAGACACAATATTCCAACACTTATAATATGCAGCTAAATCAGTTGCCCAGAGGAAATTTATAGTTGTTAATGCTTATATTTAAAAAGAAAGACATTAAGATACTAGGTATTTTTTTAAAAGATACAAAGAAAGATATCGAATCAATTACCTAACCATCCATATTAGTAGAAAAAGAAAAGCAAAAACTAAGCCTAAGTAAGCAGAAAGGAAATAATAAAGATTAAAATATACATTATTGAAATCGAGAATAGAAAAATAGAGAAATAAAACCAAAAAGCTGATTCTTTGAAAAAAATCAACAAAATTGACAAACCTTCAGGTACACTGACCACAAAGAAAGGGAGAAGACTCAGAAATGAAAGAGGAAATTACTACTGACCTTAAAGAATAAAAAGAGTATAAGGAAATATTATAAACAATTATATGCCAACAAATTAGATAGCCCAGAGGAAACAAATTCTTAGAAAGACATACACTACAAAAACTGATTCTAGAAGAAATAGATGATCTGAATAGACTTATCACAAGAAAGAAACTGAATTATTCATTAATAAACTACCCACAAGGAAAAACTCAGGCCCCAGTGGCTTCACCAAACTTTTAAAGAATTAATATCAAAATACAGAAGAAGAGGTAAATTTCCCTACTCATTCTATGAGGCAAGTATTACCCAAATAATAAAACCAGACAAAGCCATAACAAGAAAATTACAGACCAATCTCTCTTTTGAATAAGGACAAAATTCCTCAACAAACTACTAGCAAACCAAATCCAGCAACATATAAAAAGAATTATACACCATGACGAAGAGGGATTTACACTAGGAATGCAAAGTTGGTTTACCATATGAACATCAATCCATATATAATATACTACATTAATAGAAAACAAAAAACACATGATCTCAATGGACACAGAAAAAAAGCATTTGACAAAATTTAAAATCCTTTCATGATAAAAGCACTCAACAAACTAGGAATAGAAGGGAGGCCAAGTGTGGTAGCTCACACCTGTAATCCTAGCACTCTGGGTAATTAAGAAAGAAAAAGGAAAAGAAGGCATCCAGTGGACAAGAAGTAAAATTATAAGCAGATTACATAATGTCGTATATAGAAATCCTAAGGAATCTGTTAAAAAACTATTAGGACTAATAAATAAGTTCAGCCACAAAAAACAATGGTGATATAGCACCTTTTGTATTATCCTGGATAGAGCTGGAACCCATTCTACTAAGTGAACTATCACAAGAATGGAAAAACAAGCACCACATGTATTCACCATCAAATTTGCTTTAACTGATCAACACTTAAATGCACATATAGTAATAACATTCATCGGGTGTCGGGCAGATGGGGGGTGAGGAAGAGATGGGTATATAGACACCTAATGGGTGTGGTGCGCACTGTCTGGGGGATGGACACATTTGAAGCTCTGACTCCAGTGGGGTATAGGCCATATACATAACTTAAACTTTTGTACCCCCATAATATGCTGCAATAAAAAAAATTTTTTTTAAATCTTACAGCTAACACCATAATTAATGGTGAGCAACTAGAAGCTTTCTTACTAATTTCAGGAACAAGGCAAGTTTCTCTTCTTGCACCACTCCTTTTCAACATCATACTGGACACCCTAGCTAATGCGGTAAGACAAGAAAAAGAAATAAAAGTTATACAGATTATGGCCGGGCGCGGTGGCTCAAGCCTGTAATCCTAGCACTCTGGGAGGCCGAGGCGGGTGGATCGCTCAAGGTCAGGAGTTCGAGACTAGCCTGAGCAAGAGCGAGACCTCATCTCTACCAAAAAAACAGAAAGAAATGATCTGGACAACTAAAAATATATATATATATGTAGAAAAAATTAGCCGGGCGTAGTGGCGCATGCCTGTAGTCCCAGCTACTTGGGAGGCTGAGGCAGGAGGATTCCTTGAGCCCAGGAGTTTGAGGTTGCTGTGAGCTAGGCTGACGCCACGGCACTCACTCTAGCCAGGGCAACAAAGCAAGACTCTGTCTCAAAAAAAAAAAAAAACAAAAAAAAAGTTATATAGATTATGAAGGAAGAAATAAAACTGTCTTTGTTTGCAAATGATATAATCATCT